TTACATTAAACATTTGATAGACATTCTGTCTATATAAATTCTATATAAAATATTAATATAAATATTAAGTATATAAATTCTTTATATACTTAAATAGACTTAGATAAATTTAATTTGGAGGGGTTATTCACTCTTGTCATACAAAGTTTAAGGATTCTGTAAACGCGTATATTTTTATAGATAAAAAATGACGTATTCCAAACATTTATACACTTTAGAAAATTAACAAATTATTAAGTATTATGTTTATTTCTTATCTCGGGAAGGGGGTGGGCGTTTTTTCTTTTCCAAAATTTAATAAAATAAGTAGAAACACTGATTTCATTGAAAGAGCAACAAAATGAGAAAATGTGTTACTTTTAAAAAGTGAAAATGATTGAAGAATTTTTAATTAGTTACATGTTTGATGCACTAAAGGTTTCGGAATCTTTTCAAAGTATTGAAGTTTCCGGTGTAGTTTTTAATATACTACACATATATAGATCGGCTGGCGATAAATATTTATAACAGGAAATATTATATGCAACAAAGAATTTGTATTAATTATAATTGATGTATGTCTAATGTTTTTATAGTATTTTATTACTTCGTTAATTTGTAAATTTTATACTACTTATGTGTTAAATGGTACATTTTTATAGGTTGTAATCATTGGTTTATTGTCACAGTGCTATTCATAAAATTTATGTTTTAAAGTATGCAATTTAATAATCACTTAGCTGATATTTTAGAGAAAAATTATAGTGAAATGATTAATGGCATCTAGCACTACAGATTTATATGTTATTTGAATACTTTATGTGGTACAAAATTGAAAAATTCTCATAATAAAAAAATATTTCTTTGTAATTAATACTACGCAACGATAGTTTTTAAAAGAACGTTATTTATTTGATTATGTCGTTTATTTATTGATTCTTTACTTTCCATTAGTATTATTTAAATAGCGAAGGTTAAGGTCATTTGTTTGTGTGTTATACTTAAGATGCACAGTTATGATTGATTGCCGTAGTATTTGAACTCCCAAATCGTCCAGAACTACATTAGTTATGGTTATACTATGAACATTAGTGTTTAGGAGGAGGTCGGCTGACAACTGTTCAAGTCACGTCAGATCGATTTTGAGTAACAGAGTATTGTGACGTACATGCTGCAGATTCATGAGCATAATATGTCTTCTAATTTCACACGACGGAGCTACTGGCGATAAAGTATGATGACTTAAGTCATAAAGGCAACGTTTATTTTACCTATACTGAACAAATGCTTTACGGGATCATCTTAAACGATTCGTAAAAACGAAACGACGGTACCAAATTCGCATGCACACACTGTTTTTTACGCAGCTTTCACCCTTTTCTTAGTGCACAGTGATACGTGTCTCTAATGTATTGCTACAAGTCATATTAGCAAGAACAATGATTCAAACTTGTATAACAATCATTGTTTTATTTCCGTAAGGTCATTTACTGGGTTTCACTCAATTTGCCGGATCATCGTTCGGTAATATCCGAAATAATGTTACTATTTAAGTGCGTCACGTTATTTAACCTGGAATATGACGGCGAATAAAAGAAGATAATTAACAGGTAGGAAGGAAGAGTTAAAAATCGTATAAATAATACACATGTATGTATACGTATTTCATTATTTCAGCTCGTAATAAAAACCATTTAGATTTATTTTACTTCTCTGATAAAGTCCATTAAAATATTTAAGTCAAGTATGAAATATCCCTTTCTTAAGAACAAAATTCTAAACAAAAATTAAGTAAATAATTAGTTTAAAATAATAATTTTATCAACTATTAAGAGTCATTATCACTCCAATAATAAATTTAAAATAATTTAATTGAATTATTCTATTTATGGCACAAAAGTTATGATTTTACTGTTAAACTCTATTACCTAAACTAGAGATCGATGATTAAAATACAGTAGATTCTTCTTATGTCGAACGTTTGTTTTATCGAATTTTTTATTGTCTCGAACTGTATTGATTGAATTTATATTATTAGTTTTTTTTTTTTTAAACACAACATATCCAAATATTAGATATCGTTGTATTTTTTCTGTTCTTCTAAATATTTGACATGATGAAAATTTAATGTATAGTTTATTTTTGGCTCTAATGAGTATAGTTGACGAGTTAATAAAAGGTATATACTTTTCAATAAAATCACAATTAAAATCAAGATTAACTTAAGGTCTGATTGAATTGTAGAGAGTTTTAAATGTCAAGACACATATTTTCTTGAAAAAAGGTCCGAAATACTACTCTGAAAAATTAAACAGCATATTTCTGTTGTCAATATCGGAATTTCTTCAGTCTAATTGTAAATATTTTTGAATAATTTAATTCGGTAATCATTGTCGAGATAATTTAGATAATTATCTAGTCTGCACGTTTTAACGCCATCTGAAAATTTCGCGTCTGTTTAGGAACCGAACTGTGACGAAATGAGTGTTTATGACTACTTGACTAAGACATAACACATAAATAGTTTCATAAATATTCCACTATATATTTTTACATACATATATCAAATAAACGATAAATAAGTTTTCCTACATCGTGTAAATGTTGAAAGTAATATCATTAAATGTAAAAAATAAAATTAATGTTACCTGTCTAAACATAGAATGATTATATAATATATTAAATCGTCATTGAAGAATTGAAAATAAATAATAATAAACGAAATAATAACAAAATAGAACAGAAAATAATATACAAAATAATTTGTATAATATACATTTATAATGAAAAAAGTTTCATTTTTAATTAATCGGAGTTCTTGACTCTCTAATAATTTATTAAAAATTTTTAATTTTTACAAAAAGTTCGAATTAAATAAAGAAAGCGTAGTTCTCTTAAAAACTTCTTAATGGGAAATATGAAAGTTAAAACAAAAAATTATAATATTTTACACATATTTCGAATATGAATTTCTTAATTTAAATCTACGATTAAAAAATATATTATAATACGAGCTTAAAAATAAAAATACTATTTTATTTCTCTGCAAGACGGCATAAAGAAGACTGGTCAAGACCACGCTATCATTCGATCATAAGTGCCAGTAGTTTGTTAAACAGTTACATAAAAGTAATAAAAATACTCAGAGGGAAAATTAATATTCCCCACCACATAGAGTCGATGCTTGTTTAGATTAATCAATAGAAGATTGTGTACAGCTAACGTAAGAAGCTTTAACCAATAAAAAAATGAAAAAACAAAGATTCACAATAAAACTTCACAAATATTCACTAAAAACTCAGTTTAAAATGTTTTTGTTTTAATTATTATTAAACAGCTAAGAAAAGTAAACAATGTTTAATATTACATTCAATTGTGTATCATAATACTTTTATATTTTAAAATATTAGAGCAATAAGACATTTATTTAGCATGATCAATGCTAAATCGTGTAACATTTTAAATGATCGCTTGCAATGAAAAACTTAATCTTAACAAAGAGTCGAAATTCTGTTATGATTTTTATTTTGCAGAACGTGTGATGTATAACAGAAACATAATTTTTAACGATAAAGTTTATTAGGTTTAACTATATACTTTTATACATATGAATCATGTGCATTAAGGATTTCGTATAAACCTCAAATGATGTATATTGTTCATAATGTATATAGTGTATGCGAGTTAAATAATAAAAAGTTAAGCATATTTTGTGTTATATACGTGTCGTGATTATTCAACTAAATGTTTTTTTTTTAACTACAATTTTATAGTTATTAAAACTGTTATTTATATGTCTTAAACAAAATGTTACCTTTTAAAGTTAATAAATTCATAAAATCTTACGCTTATATGAAAGATAATTAATTATTAATTTTAATTTTGTAGAGTTTCATTTTTGGTAATTCTATAGACTAACTAGATATTTTTTTCGAAATTGTATTAATAGTTTTTATTTGTAAAAAATTAATTTTCTGATAACATTGATTACTGAATTTGTCAGTTAATGATTAGTTTGACGAATATTTTTGAATTTGACATTTTCAGTTTGCCATTTCATAATACATCAGAAAATGAACAGTGTATGCTAAATCATTTTTTTTATGAACTGCTGTACCTTGAAAATTAACTTTAAATTTTTTTCTTATTTTATTTATACCTACACTGACTATTAAAAATTTTAACATATTTTTTTCCAAATGCACTTCATATATTTGGTTAAATATGTAACTTTAAATTGAATGAACATAAATGATATGCATAATCCTATTTTTACAATGTGTGAAAAAATATATAAATATTTAAAATAATTATTTTAAATGAACTTATACGATGACGTACACTAAAAAGAATTGATGAGGCTTTATTACTCTCTCATTGGTCATATTATTCTGAATTTATATATATACCAATGAATAATTTATAATACATAATATATTTTTATGTAATATTAATAAATATAAAATACAATAGGTTTTTCTTTTGTTCCTATATCGAATTTTTCGTTGTGTCAACTGTATTGAGATCCCCAAGAATTTATTTTGTACATTTTCATAAAACTCAAAATATTTCGATATTTTTTTCTGTTTTTCTTAATATTTGAAAATACGAGAATCTACTTTTTTATTTTTGGCTCTAGTAATTGTAGCTGACGAACAAAAAAAAAAGGTTCATACTTTTAATAAAATCAAAATTACAATTTTAATTTATTTTAGGTGCCCATGTTAATTCCATCATTTTTCGTAGAAATATTACTTGTTGCAAATGATTTTGAATTGCATATGATTGACTTGTTTTTCTAATAGTATAATGACATAGATTTTGTAGTCATTTATGTTACTATCTCTATCGTTAAAAGTTCGGTGTCATTACTTTTTAGTGTAATTTATAATTACTTATTTTCTATGGAAAATAACCGGACTGCAGGGTCAAAGATGTTCAATACGTGACAAGGTAAATGAAGAAAAAATAAATAAATGAGGAGGAGAGTGATAGTTGATCATGTTACCATACGTCCAACCAAAAGTGAATGTTTTGATCGTGTCCAACTTATCCGTTTCCCAAGTGTATAAGAAGCGAAGACAACTTTAGCTCATCATCAGTTAGTCGCATCACCGTGAGTGAACAACAAATAATTTAGAACTATATTTTTTTTTTAAGTTTGTGAAAAAATATACAGAATGATGAGCGCACGCCTAGTTGTAAGTACACTTTGATTTATATTTTTTATTGAGCAGTTTTCTAATTTTTTTTTTTAATTTCTTTTCTCTATTTTAAAGTCAATTTTTTAATTTTTGTTGTATTTATCATCAGTTTAAAAAAACTTAGAAAAGTAATTTTTAGGACTACTAAGTGGTAATATTTTTAAACAAATGACTTATAATTTTTGTAGATACAAAATTAAAAGAAAACTTTATCTTATTTATAATTAGCAACTTTATCAAATGTTTTATTTTTAACGTTTAATTTTATATTTTCAGATGTTAGCGTCGCTTGCGACTTTAACATTAGCAAGACCTGATGCTGGATACTCATACAGCTCCTCATCTCCATCCTCATCCTATGGAGCACCTTCTTCATCTTACGCCGCTCCATCATCCAGTGGAGGATACTCCTCTGGAGGATACTCCTCTGGAGGATACTCCACTGGAGGTCTCTCATCTGGAGGTCTCTCATCTGGAGGTCTCTCATCTGGTTACTCAGGTAGCTCAAGCAGTTATGCAAGTGCCCCAATCAGTTCTGGATATTCAAGCGGTGGTAGCTCTAGCTATTCTAGTGGTGGTAGCTCTGGTTACTCTAGTGGATATAACTACGCTCCAGTAGCTCCAATCGTACAAAAGCACATCTACGTCCATGTCCCACCTCCAGAACAAGAGTACATTGCTCCTCAACCAACTCAATCTATCGCTCCACCACAAAAACATTACAAANTTTTTCGAAATTGTATTAATAGTTTTTATTTGTAAAAAATTAATTTTCTGATAACATTGATTACTGAATTTGTCAGTTAATGATTAGTTTGACGAATATTTTTGAATTTGACATTTTCAGTTTGCCATTTCATAATACATCAGAAAATGAACAGTGTATGCTAAATCATTTTTTTTATGAACTGCTGTACCTTGAAAATTAACTTTAAATTTTTTTCTTATTTTATTTATACCTACACTGACTATTAAAAATTTTAACATATTTTTTTCCAAATGCACTTCATATATTTGGTTAAATATGTAACTTTAAATTGAATGAACATAAATGATATGCATAATCCTATTTTTAAAATGTGTGAAAAAATATATAAATATTTAAAATAATTATTTTAAATGAACTTATACGATGACGTACACTAAAAAGAATTGATAAGGCTTTATTACTCTCTCATTGGTCATATTATTCTGAATTTATATATATACCAATGAATAATTTGTTATAATACATAATATATTTTTATGTAATATTGATAAATATAAAATACAATAGGTTTTTCTTTTGTTCCTATATCGAATTTTTCGTTGTGTCAACTGTATTGAGATCCCCAAGAATTTATTTTGTACATTTTCATAAAACTCAAAATATTTCGATATTTTTTTCTGTTTTTCTTAATATTTGAAAATACGAGAATCTACTTTTTTATTTTTGGCTCTAGTAATTGTAGCTGACGAACAAAAAAAAAAGGTTCATACTTTTAATAAAATCAAAATTACAATTTTAATTTATTTTAGGTGCCCATGTTAATTCCATCATTTTTCGTAGAAATATTACTTGTTGCAAATGATTTTGAATTGCATATGATTGACTTGTTTTTCTAATAGTATAATGACATAGATTTTGTAGTCATTTATGTTACTATCTCTATCGTTAAAAGTTCGGTGTCATTACTTTTTAGTGTAATTTATAATTACTTATTTTCTATGGAAAATAACCGGACTGCAGGGTCAAAGATGTTCAATACGTGACAAGGTAAATGAAGAAAAAATAAATAAATGAGGAGGAGAGTGATAGTTGATCATGTTACCATACGTCCAACCAAAAGTGAATGTTTTGATCGTGTCCAACTTATCCGTTTCCCAAGTGTATAAGAAGCGAAGACAACTTTAGCTCATCATCAGTTAGTCGCATCACCGTGAGTGAACAACAAATAATTTAGAACTATATTTTTTTTTTAAGTTTGTGAAAAAATATACAGAATGATGAGCGCACGCCTAGTTGTAAGTACACTTTGATTTATATTTTTTATTGAGCAGTTTTCTAATTTTTTTTTTTAATTTCTTTTCTCTATTTTAAAGTCAATTTTTTAATTTTTGTTGTATTTATCATCAGTTTAAAAAAACTTAGAAAAGTAATTTTTAGGACTACTAAGTGGTAATATTTTTAAACAAATGACTTATAATTTTTGTAGATACAAAATTAAAAGAAAACTTTATCTTATTTATAATTAGCAACTTTATCAAATGTTTTATTTTTAACGTTTAATTTTATATTTTCAGATGTTAGCGTCGCTTGCGACTTTAACATTAGCAAGACCTGATGCTGGATACTCATACAGCTCCTCATCTCCATCCTCATCCTATGGAGCACCTTCTTCATCTTACGCCGCTCCATCATCCAGTGGAGGATACTCCTCTGGAGGATACTCCTCTGGAGG